GCAAATATATAGCGCCCATAAGAATCACGAGAGTCTGTTGCTGATGCTGCTAACTTATGACGTCAGTTAACACGTTGCTGCCTTTAGTTGATCGTTCTTGCCGCATCGCAAATCTCTAACGCACTTTAACTTCCTAATTTATCCCCCGGTCGCCATCGAAACGACAATAATTTTAATCACGATTTACTGTAACCGCATACTACGCGTTAAAGTCTAATGGCCAGGCTCTTCGAAATTTCTTGGATCCCCCGTGTAATCATTGTCGCGTAACGCCATCGCCGCCTACGATCTTGCTTTGTGTGGAAAGGATCTACAATACTCTTAGCAGGAGCACTTAATACGCTGTCGCAGCCGCATTATTATGACTGCTGGTCGCTTGCGTTGTGGGCGCAAAAACACGGGCCGCGAGATGGAGCCGCTATAGCTTGGTGTTTCACTGAGTATAACTCGATTTAGCCCCGTGCCTGATTGCAGTAACACTGAGCAATTAGCATGTTGTGTGTGTGTGCTGTGTGTGTGTGTGTGTGTGTGTGTGAGTCGCGCGGCGCGCGCGCGCGTGTGATGTGTGTGTGTGTGTGCTGTGTGTTGTGTTGTGTGTGTGTGCTGTGTTGTGAGTGTGCGGTGGCGGCGCAGTGTGTGTGCGTGTTCTGTGTGCGTCCGGCCACGTACGAGCACGCGGATGTGCCGCGGCATGAACGTTCCTACCTGCATGTATTCGTTTGAGGATCTAGCCGACCATGACTTGGCTTACCGCACGCCCCGCATACATCGAGATAAACTCGCGCGCGCCTCTGAAAGTGACCTACGGTCAACATTACTGATTCATTATAATTAATGTAGGACGGCTCTAGCCCATAAAATATTAAAATTCATGAAGAATAATGAATTATGACTATTTTATAAGCACTAATTGTATGCAAACGCTGTACCTCTCATTAACATGCACGCTACGTTATGAACAACTGTGTAACTAGGTTAAATATACGTTAGAACGAAGGAACAAGCAAACGAATGAATGAATGGGCGATTGAACAAATAAACGAATGGCCGACCGACCCCGAATGAACGAACGAACACAAGCACGCACGCACACACGTACGCACGCACGTACGCACGCACGTACGCACGCACGAATTAACGAATAGAGCAATCGAATGAATGAGTCTATGAACGAAATAAGAAAACCCGCCCAAAACAGCTAATATAATAAAGACACACACACACACGCACCACACACACACCACACCACACAGCACAGCACCACACGACACACACGCACACACACACACATCTAGTCACACACACATCACACACACACACACACACGGCACACACACCACACACACACACACGACACACACACCACGCACAGCACCACACACACATACGCACAGCACACACACACCACAACACACACACGTTACGCCACACACGCACACAACAACCACACACACACACACACCGCACACACACACACACACCACACACACACACACACACCAGCACAGCACAGCCACAGCCACAGCACAGCACAGCACAGACAGACACACAGACAAGATACACAGGACAGAAACTACAATCCGTTAGCCATCATACACATATAACGAAGTCGAGCGCTGTCATCGTCATTGAAGATATATTAAATGTTTCACTCTCTCATCGCGTCGTTTTTTTACACGCCACTGGCAGGGAACCGTGACCACGCCAGTTTTTTTTTTTTTTTTCCTTTTTATTACATTACACTGACGTATACACTACTACAGCACGCCACCCCCATCCTCCTCCTCCCTCCATTCCTCCCCGTCCTCCTGAATCCAAAACTCCAGATAATGACATACGCTCCCTCGTATTTTTTTTTTTTTTATACGTACAGTATGTCGTGATGGATCTAGCAACCATGTTTTTCCTCGCGCATGTTCCATTGGAATGCACACATTGATATCAATGCAGGGCCATGCAGATGGTCAGGGGTACGGCCGAACCATTCACGACAAACCGGCACCGAAAACTGCGTTTTTTGAACGCGGTAAAAACAATCGACGCAACGCGCATCTTGAATAAAAAGAATAACCTTAGCGTGATTTTCGATGATAAAACTAATCCTTAATAGTTCGTTGGAGTCTGAAATGCAATATTTCGCCAAAAAAAATTTACAAAGATCGCGCTGATCTAAACTACAAGCCCTCGCGACTACGCTGTCGCGCTTTGTCAAAAAAACACTTGCTGGAATGACGCACGTGTGTTTTTTTATACCGACTGCTGTTCTAATATCAAGCCATTATTCGCGGTGATTAGTAGATCCCCAATTACACGAATTATGTGGTATCGCTTTCGTTGTCCTTCGCCCGCAGTACTCACCGCCGTGTTAAAATAGTCCAGTGCGGGGTTTACTCCCTCATTCTGCACCTGTCCATCTATCTCCCTCTCTCTCTCGCACTATATATAATATTATATACCTAGTTGATATATATACATATATATTTTATTGATTTATTTAATTATATTATTAATTATTTAATTATTTAATTATTAATATTATATAATATATGCTTGTGTGTGTCTGTCTGTCTTTTGACTGTCTGTCTGTCTGTCTGTCTGTCTGTCGTGTTTCCCCGGTTTTGTCAGGCTGGCTGGCTGGCTCTCTCCCTTTTCTACATTTTCCCCTCTCTCTTCTATCTCACTCACTCGCCACTCTCCCCTTCTCTACCCCATCCAGTACATGTTCAGCTCAAGGCGACTATAGGTACGCGCGCTCGTCTCTCACAGGACACATCATATCGACGTGGAAACTTCGCCAAGAATCAATGCGCCAGCTTCTCGCCTCTGTCCTGTTTAATAGATCGCCGTTTTCCCGATAAAGCTTCTCGTAAGCTAATGGGAGCGGGCTTAGCTGGCAACGTTTGAAAGGGAAAAGCTACCGAGCGGATCACTCGCTAATTCCTGGCTTAGCACCGCGCACATTTACACAAAGTCAAGGTAATAACGAGAATTTGTGACATGAAAGAGACGAGCAGTAAATTTCACGCGCGTCGGTCGGCGTACGATGTGCGCCCCGCGATGATTTTCCACCCTGTTTGCCGCTCCGCCGCGAGGAGAAGGAGGAGGGGGGCACAGCAACCAACAACAGAAGCAATGCCTGGGATCGGGTGCTCGGCGTGCGTGCGGCGGGTAGAGCCGTGTGCGCTGTTCGTATAATGCGTGCGGCGTGCGTGGCATATGCAGTAGTGCGTCGCCGCGCGCGCGCAGTGTGTGTGTGTGTGTGTTGTAGTTGTGTGTACGTGTCTGTGTGTTGTGTGTGTGTGTTGTGTTGCTGTGCCGCGCGCGTAACGTGCGTGGTATAAGTGGGGTGTGGTGCGTGGGTATCAATGGTGCGTGCGTGCGCAGTATGTCGTGCGCGTGTCTGTTGATATATGTTGTATGTGTTGCTCGAATTGTGTTGTGTGTGTGTGTGTGTGTAGTGTGTGTGTGTGTGTGCTGTGTGTGTGCGGGGGGGCGGGGGGGGGGGGGTGTGTGTGTGTGGTGTGTGTGGTTCGCGCCGCGGGCTGGGGGGTGTATTTGTTTGGGGGTGAGTACTGCGCGTGGGGGCGGTGTCCTGTGCAACTGAGAAAATATATTAATTCCGCACCTCTAATTCTCGCGAGCTGGCGACGAATCTCTCTCTCTCTCTCTCTCTCTCTCTCTCTCTCTCGCTCTCTCTCTTTCACGCGTACAACATAGTACGGTATATAATAGTTTGTCTTGGATGAAAATCCTCCCGCCCACTAGCCTCCCTACTCCCGCTCTTACTCCTCCCGCTCCCCGCCTCCGTTTCTCCCGTCTCCCGCCCCTCCTCTCCCGTCTCCCGTACCCCCGACCCCCGACACCCTTCAATAATGTAGTGGCGACTTTGATCCAATATGACATCCTCTCGCCATCTATCGGTAAAACTAATTCATATGCGCACATTGTATCTAGGTGGACCCGACGCCATTAATTGAAATACATACATCGAAGTGTAGAATGGGAATTTCACGGCCAAACCTTTACCAATCTTATCCAGTAAATATTATTATGTATAGGGACTGTAATTATATTAATTCCACTCTACGTTAAATACGTTTTAGAGTATTATAATACCTTGCATTTTACGGTTACACATAACATACAATGTGCGCATATGAATTATTTCTACCGATAGATGGCGCGAGGATGTCATATTTGATCATAGTCGCTGCTGCATTATTGAAATACATACATCGAGGTGTAGGATGGGAATTTCACGAGATACCCCCTGACCATATTAAATGCATTTTCAGCACAAACTATAACGTCCCTTGTGAGATATTGCGCATGCCCTAAAAGAGTATCGTAGCCTGATTGTGCACTAACTGGTTTATGCAGCGAAGACCTTACATGCAAGGTCTGCGTCCTATTTCATAAGTGAGGTCTACTGATGGGATATTATCAGGAGTAAGATAATATATACTATATTATCTTACTCCTGATATTGTCATAGAAATCTATGCTGGGATAACCCCTCTCCATTTTAAATTCATAACTTTGGCAAAATATTATTCCTCTCGGGAGATATTGCGCATGCCCTAGCACTGTTTCAGATGTGCAGCACTGCCTAAATAAATGCATGTAATATAGCTTGCTGCGGAAGAGAGGGGTGGGAGATTGAGGGAAGGTGGCAGGGAAGACAGCCGAGGGGCGGTGGAAGAAGGAGGCTGAGCGCCCGACAAGAAAGGGGAAGGGCGGGCGGGGATGAAGTAGTAGTTTTGCACCCTACTGTCTAGAGCGCTCTCCTACTTATAAATACAGGTGTACTGATTAGAATTTATTACAGAAACTTAAGCTGAGATACCCCCTTACCATATTAAATGCATTTTTAGTACAAAATATAACTCCCCTCGTGAGATATTGCGCATGCGCTAAGACAGTATTGTAGCCAGATTGTGTACTGACTGGTTCATGCAGCGAAGACCTTACATGCAAGGCCTGCTTCCTATTTCATAAGTGAGATCTACTGATGGAATATTATCATAGAAATCTATGCTGGGATAACCCCTCTCCATTTTAAATTCATAACTTTGGCAAAATATTATTCCTCTCGGGAGATATTGCGCATGCGCGAGCACTGTTTCAGACGTGCAGCACTGCCTAAATAAATGTACGTAATATAGCTTGCTGCGGAAGAGAGGGGTGGGTGATTGAGGGAAGGTGGCAGGGAAGACAGCCGAGGGGCGGTGCAAGAAGAAGGATGCTGAGCGTCGACAAGGGAGATAAGAGGAAGGGCGGGCCGGGATGAAGTAATAGTTTTGCACCCTACTGGCTAGGGCGCTCTCCTAATTATAAACACAGGTGTACTGATAAGAATTTTTTACAGAAACCTATGTTGAGATACCCCCTGACCATATTAAATGCATTTTCAGCACAAAATATAACTCCCCTCGTAGATATTGCGCATGCGCTAAAACAGTATCGTAGCCTGATTGTGTACTGACTGGTTTATGCAGCGAAGACCTTACATGCAAGATCTGCTTCTTTTTTCATAAGTGAGATCTACTGATGGAATATATCATGGAAATCTATGCTCGGATAACTCTTCATCATTTTAAATTCATAATTTAGGTAAAATATTCTTCTTCTTGTGACATATTGCGCTTGCGCGAGCACCGTTTCAGACGTCCAGTACGGCCTAAATAAAAGTACGTAATATAGCTTGTTGCGGGAGAGAGGGATGGAAGACTGAGGGAAGGTGGCAGGGAAGACAGCCGAGGGACGGTGGAAGAAGAAGGAGACTGAACGTGCTACAAGGGAGACAAGAGGAAGGGCGGGCGGGGATGAAGTAGTAGTTTTGCACCCTACTGGCCAGGGCGCTCTCCTAATTATACACACATGTCTATTGATAAGAATTTATTAGAGAAACCTATGCTGAGATACGCCCTGACCATAGTAAATAAATTTTCAGCTCAAAATATAACTCCTCTGGTGAGATATTGAGCAAGCGCTAAAACAGTAACGTATTTAGGTTATACTGAATTGTATATTCAACGTGGACCTTACAGGCACGGTCTGCTTCCTATTTCTGAATTCTGGTCTACTAATGGAATTTTGTCATATCAATCTATGCTAGGATGACCCCTCTTCATTTTAAATTAATAATTTTGACAAAATATTATAATCTTTTCGGGAGATAGTGCGCATGCGCGAGCACCGTTAGATACAAATGTACATATCTACCACAGATATCAATAGCTACTTGAGAGCTAGCGAGCGAGCGCGTAATAGCCTTATATGACAAGTAGCCTACATATATTAATTGTACATATATTACCAGTCTACGTTAAATCCATGTGCAGGCTTGTAGGATCGGATATGGTGTGACAAGATTCTGGAAGTCGAAACTAGCAAATCCTTTCAATATCCCCTATACCTATATAGTGCACCTAGCAGCCGTATATTGTCGCGGTTCCTATATTCAGTTTAGGCTATCAATCGGGAGTCATTTTTATACTTTCTATTTTTTTCATTTAGTGGAGACAAGCACAAAATAATAATATTATAGAAGGGGCTTATAATTATGCAGAAGCACATGTTGAAAACCATATGATATTGTGCTCCCCCCACGGGCACCACCCTTCGAAAAGTGGAGGGGACCTACGTGTCCCCCCAGGGGCGTGTACAGGGGGGTCCAGGGGGTCCGGACCCCCCCCCCTTGCTCGCGCAGAAAACGCATCTAAGGTGGTATAATTTCAAACTTTTTCTGGGGGAAGGCCCTCCAGACCCCCCCTTCGCGTGCTCGCAAGTTTGGGTTACGGTTAGACCCCCCCCTGGTACAAATCCTGTACACGCCCCTGCCCCCGTGTCCCCATGTGGCATTTGCGCTCATGTATAGCCCTATAACGTAATTAGCACTATACCCGTAACCCCAACCCTCACCTTAATTGTTCCTAGAACCTGACAAAACGAAGACGATCACAGATCTCTTGGTATTTCGCCCTCTAAGAATCCGTCATGTTAATCAGGCCCTATACCGTTAAGGTTAATGTGCAGCGGCGTGCGTGCGGTATATTGCAGAGGAGCATTTAAACGGCATTTATATACAGGAAATTATCGGTAATAATAATTAAGCGAAAGAGAATATTATGGAGAAACATGAATACTTTGGTAGTGAATAAATTTCGTGTTTATCAGGCATTATTTTGTTATTGAGGCGCTCCAATTAAATGTATGTGGAAGTGTTCCCGACCGCTATATAAATTTACGAGACAAGAGGAAGCATTGACGCGCGTACGTGTACGCATCTTGCTTGCTGCGTGACCGCGGGGCAGGGCTTATGTGACTCTTATGTGTTGGAGTGAGTATAAGTAAAGTCGGTAGGCAATAGGCATGATATAGGGCGAGATGTCCGAAAATATATATTCTTTACCCGATTTTAGTTCCGAAAGATGTGTAACACCGCATTCGCAAGCAACTAACTGAGATCGCTGCATCTTATCTGTGATAAAACGCAGCGTTTCTATTCGCGAGATTCTTTCGCTTTGTGCGCACCTGACATTACCTGTTTTCCATAGACTGTCACCGATTAATCGCAACAATAAGGAGCGGCGCTTAACACCAGGGAGTGCGTACCAGTCTAGCGTTTACCTGGGCTGCCATTACGCTATGATGCATTACGCGGCTTGTTCCCAGATCCATATGATCAGTGATGCAGAACTTCATGGCGGTTGATGTATTCAAACCTGTTGGTAGAGCTACTCAGCAAGGTGTGGTGTAGCTAAGGCATGTGTGACATCACGGCATTGTAACTCCATGCGCCATTGGCATTGGTGAGCAAGACTGAGAGACAGCCATGATTTGATTATAGACTACACTGTCTACAGTGCAGGTGGTACTGTTGTTGTGTCAAAGAATTCGTAGCCATAACCGGCGGTGAGCGTTGCATATTTTCTCGTGTACACCTATTCCTTGATGTGTAATGTAGGATGTTAAATCTATTTCTATTCGTAGTACTAGTACTAGTAGGCCTAACGATCATGAATTTTAGACCTAATCGTGTGATCACGATGTCGTATGCATAGATAGAGCAGCACGCTTGGAACCACGCATGGCATCCATGATGAAAAGATTCGAACTATTAGTATTACTATTAGTATGAACTATTATTAATATTATTATTAAAATGCCTAAATGCTACGAACAGTGTCATTATGCATATGCATGCATTCCCACTATTTATTTTTCATCGTCTTCAGCTGTTTGCTCGTATGAGAGACTAGAAATAGGTGACTAAGCTAATACAAATGTGTAATGTACCGATGCCATCATCAGTGCATGCATGCTAATCATACATGTGTCATCAGTATGGCTATTACAGATTGCAGAATTAAGTCCGCCCTACACACCTCACGTCCACACTTTAAATCACGTAGTCAGTCGTTGTGATCTGGCAGTGATTGTATTATTGTAGGCAGTGGTCCTCTTCGTTGTACTCGCATGTCACCGTAAAATAATGTCGCTGAATAACAGCAGCTACACCTTGATATCATACTGTCATATGAATTACATACAGTTGTATGAATTTACAGGTGCTCCTGGTATATTGCATGGATATACATGTGTTATCAGTATATGAACCATAATTTTCCCAAATTATATTTACAGATCAAGCAGTCTTGGAACTTCGATCATTCAAGTAGTTTCATTTATTGTAGGAGTGTGAATATTAGAAGAGAGATGGCAACAAGAGTGTTGCTGTTGTTCCTGTGCCTTGGTGCAGTCAAAGCACAAATTGATGCAGTTCAATTAATCGACTTAGTGGATCCAAATAGAGCAGGTAAAATGGACATTTTATATAAAAACATAAGTATCCATTCATCCAATCCAACAACTTTGCTTATAACGTGTCAGTTAAAGTAAATTATAGTCTGACATACGAGAAAAACTCCGCCTTAACTCTGAGAGTACTGATATATCACAATTGAACTACAGTAGAAGTTTTATGGAGATACCGTTATCAAGCTTTAGAACTCTTTCTCTATATATGAAATGTAAGGAAGATGGTCGTTGTCCTGTTGGCTAGAGATACACTAGGATGGATGTAGGCATATATATATGTATGAATTGTGGTTTGAAGCTTAGCGTTGGCAAAGCTGAACAATGTTTCTCTTGCAGTTGCGACTCCCCCCATGATCACCGCGCAGCCATCAGAGAGGGAGAGGCCGATAGAGGCCCGTAGGAATGTCGTGCTGCAGTGTGAGGGAACTGGTGAACCAAAGCCTGAGTAAGCCTTGTACTTGTAATGCTGCTAGATGGAGCCACCTAGGTGCTGGGTCCTAGAGGCAGAGCTACGACAGATTGTGCTCATTGCTTAGAGTCTACAATAGGAGCGTCGCTCTTGGTCTGATAGCTGAGATTCATAGATGAGCTGGTGTGGGGGTTCGTGCTGCATCCATGCCCATTTTGAATTTATGTTGAGGCAAAAAACAACCACATTATGTACACATTTAATGGTTAACATTGACGATGGAAATGTTGCTTGTGTGTGCGTGCGTGTGTGCGTGTGCATGTTTGTCTCTGTGTGTGTGTGTGTGTTGAGTGTGTTGAGTGTGTGTGTGTGTGTGTGGTGTGTGTGTGTGTGCATGTTTGTCTGTGTGTGTTGTGTGTGTGTGTGAGTGTGTTGAGTGTGTTGAGTGTGTGTGTGTGTGTTTGTTTGTGGAGAGCTAGTTGGGTTGTACATGAATGGATGGCTTATACACGTGAGTTAGCTACCTTTGTCTGGACCTCTCTTAAAACGACCCGAAACACCAACGCACCAAAGATTACTCTTCATCAGTGGATCAGTCACCCAGTCAATTTTCACGCGTCTGCTAGGTTCCGCTGGACGAAGAACGGTCGTTTCTACGACCCATCGGCCGTCGATGACGCTCGCGTGGCGACACAGGCCGACAAGGGCACCATCATCATCTCACGTCCAAAGGATTCTGACGAGGGCCTGTACCAGTGCATCGTGCAGAATCCTCACGGTCGAGCCGTGTCCGATAAGATATACCTTCGCTACGCTAGTAAGTGTGGCTGAAGGGGTCGTTGTCGTATAGGGTACCTAATGACACACCTCCTAAAATACGGTCCCTAACCCTAACCATATCAGATAGTTACATCGGGTACATATATGTAGTACCCTGTACGACAACGATCCTTCGTGCCTAAGTGTGCACTACATATAGAATATATATACATCTACATAGTTATGTATGTATGTTGTTGTAACATTGTAACTACAGTGGAACCCCCATATTACACGCCCCGATTTAACGCGAATTCGGATATAACGGGATGAGTCGTTGGACCCCTTTTTTTTGCTCTTATGTAGCCACGTATATATAACCCCGATTTAGTGCGACCCCGTTTTTTTCGCGATGACATTTTATGGATCACAACCATCGCGTTATAGCGGAGCTACACTGTACCTTTTTCGGTTGTTGGGTTGACCTCGTGGTGACCTTCCTACTTTTGTTCACTCGTTACAGCGCTCGGTGATTTCGAGAAGGTGGAGAATGTTCCGGTGCATAGGGTGAGAATCGGTGACGCCCTCACCATGAAGTGCGTGCCACCAAAGGGAGTGCCCTACCCCCAGGTAAGAATGGTCCTCACTCACAGGTAAAAGGCTGCTGCTCCAGATTTTTATCACACGATCCATATATAATAAGTTATAAACACTTACACTGACGAAATTTTCGTCCATCGCTCCGATAGACTTCTTCAGGCGACGTATATCGGATAGAGCAGACGAAAATTTCGTTAGTGTAAGTGTTTATAACTTAGTACAATTATGTATCTAACTGAGATAAACTTAGATTTAATGTAAACTATAGAGATCCGATGAAATTATTCAAGCATTTGTGCGACACCAGGTTGTGCTCTCGCTCTCCACAGATCTTCTGGACGATCAAGACGAAGACAGGTCTGAAGCAGGTGGAGCTGTCCGACCGTATCTCGATGGACCTCGAGCCGGGCAACCTGCACTTCATCTACATCAAGCCCGAGGACATGCACGAGGGAGGCGAGTACGTGTGCAACGCCTACAACCCGCACCTCAACATCCTGAAGGAGGGCGCCTACCAGGGACTTGAGATTATCAATCCATGTAAGAGCATGCCTAGCTCACTCGCTACCTGTGCCGGTAGTGACCCAGGGGTAATCTACAGTTGACGTACTGTATACCCCATATTTTTCGCGTACAGATATTTGTGCGAATTCAGACTTGACGGATAATTTCGCGAGTGGTTAATTTCGCGGTCGGTGAATTATGAATTATTCTGTAATATTCGGTAGGAATTATTCGCGTGTTGTTATTTTTGCGTCGGGGACGCGTTCGCGAAATAACCTTAAATTAAATCACCTCGAAATATACAGCGTATACAGTAACTAGTTGCTGTGCAGCGTAGATTCAAGGTTTATCAACTGATTCTCACGTGCGCATGTTTGTTACAGCGGATCCGTTGCCGAGGCAGAAGCCAGCAATGCTGTACACGACGCCTATTAACACGGTCGCATGGCGAGGCAAGGAGCTGGAGATGAAGTGTATTTTCAGTGGCTTGTAAGTATCAGTTTAGCACACCGCCACACTAAGTAGAGTTTACCAAAGCCGCCTATCCACGTGCTGCAATCGCAATCTCCGATTTTGTTTTAAATGAAATGCAAAGTCACTTCTGGTATTCATCTCCAGTCATCATTGCATTGACAGACGCAGCGTTGTCTGACCACCTACTGTTTGTATCTGTCTGTATTATATACGCGATCCTAAACAAATCAATAACATGGGTGGTTGACATGCTCGGTAGACAGGACCTGATGTCTAGTAGAAATCAGCTAAAGCTTGTCAGATGATAAGTTTTGTAAATCAGTACAAATTACAATACAGTGCCGAGTAACGGGTGGTAAACAGCGGTGGGAAACATAAGCGGGTGGTAAACAGCATGAGATGTCTCGTTGCCTCTCACAGCCCCATCCCGAAGTTTGAGTGGCGTCGCCTTGACCCGAACAAGCTGCTGCCGGATGGCCGCTACACGTACCAGAGCTTCGGGCAGTCGCTGATCCTGCACGACGTACAGATGGAGGATGCGGGCGAGTACGAGTGCTCGGCGCGTAATGGCCAGGGCCTGCCGCAGAAGCGCAAGTTCACCGTGCAGGTGCTGGGTAAGTGTTGTCTCCATGTGAAGCGAGCTCGAGCGCGGCTGGGCATCCACGCGCACGTTGAGCCGTCTGTGTGGGTGATGCTACCAGGAGCGTAGCTGACGCATTTTGCCTTCGGGGGGGGGGGGGGGGGGGGGGGGCAAATCCCCATGCGTGGTGTGTTCTAGGAAGGTGACCGGCATTGTAATTTGTAAAAAGCATCTGTTGTATCAAATTTTGTCTTGTCGGACCCCCTCCCCGCTAGTTACGGCCCTGGCTACCCTGCGCATTTTCGGTTTATTTCCTGGGTGTGATAGGAGTGACTCTGTGCATCCCCGGTCCATTCTGTGTACATGCGATGCAAGGCACAAGTCACACTGTGTACGACTGGTGCATGCGTGTATATGTGTGCTTGCATGTATGTGTGCGTGCTTGTGCAGGACCTGTTGCCCTAGCACCAAGCTGGGTTTACACTACTGACTTTATGTTGTCAAATCGGCGAGTTGGACCAATTTCGCAATTCGGCAACACTGAGTTGGCGAAAATAGAACATGTTCTAATCTCCTAACTAGCTGCTCGTGTGACTTTTGCATTTACACAGCCGTTTGTTGGTTGTATAGTTCGGAAGTTGGTCCAATTCGCCAATTTGTCCGCATAAAGTCGGTAGTGTAAACCCAGCTTAAGTCAACCCCTGCAGCCAGAGTGAGCAGGTTGTGTCGTCGCTGCATTAGCCTCTCCCTGTGGCGATGCATCTCTCACTCTTCGCACCATCATTTCCGATCACACTGTGCCCTCTACCCCTACTCTGTCTGTCCATCATCTTCCCTTAAACTCCCCTACTTTGTGAAACTGCTGTTTTTTCTTACACTCTGTGTGCCCCCACCCCACCCCCCATTCAGCCATGTTGCCTGGATGTCATCTCACCCCTCTCTCTCTTTCTCTCTCTCTTCGCATCGCAGCTGAGCCATACTGGATCGAGAAGCCTGAGTCTAAGCATGCGGGTCAAGGCGACACGGTCACGTTCATGTGTCTCGCCGGCGGCAAGCCAGAGCCGATCATCCGCTGGTACATCAACGGACACCCGATCCTTGAAGAGCAGGCGCCACAGACCATCTCCAACCCGAACGCCGTCATCAACTACTTCTACTACACGGGCGACCTGACGAGCGAGGAGACGGGCGCGAATAAAGGTAACCCTGCATGAAGAAGATGAGAGGAGGAGGAGAAGAAAGGGTGGCAGGAAAAAAAGAGTGGAGATGGGCGAGAGAGAGGAGGCGGGGAGAGAGAGGAGGGGAAAGAAGGGTGGAAGGAAAAGGGAGTGGAGATGGGAGAGAGAGAGAGGAGGAGGGGGAGAAAGAGTGGCAGGAAGAAAGAGAGGAGTCGGGGGAGGGGGGAGGGGGAGGAAATGTGGCAGGAAAAGGAAGTGGAAGTGGGAAGAAAGGGAGAGGAAGGATGGTGGGAAGTCATGGAAAGGACAGGAAAGAGGAGCAGGGGAGGAAAAGTGGCAAGAAAATGGAGTGGAGGTGGGGGAGAAAGAGGGAGGAAGGATGGTGGGAAGAAGTGGAAGGGACGGGAAAGAGGAGGAGGGGAGGGGAAGGTAGGTAGGAACACAGAGAGGAACTGAATGTGAACAATGATTACAGGATGTGGAATCTAGAAAGAGTTGGGTGAGAGATGGAGAGTGGGTTTGGTGGGAATTGTGAGGAGTCCCACAGCTTATTAGAGCGAGTTAGAGAGAAACAAGCACAATCAAAGGGAATGGGTTGTAAAGTCTGCAACGAGTTGTGCAGAGAGCGGTGGGTGATGATAATTGACGAACGGAAATGAAATGGAGAAGAAGGGTTAGGGTTAGGGTTAGAATGTACCAGACATTAATATGTGAAAACATATTAATTTAATATTTTAAATATTAATATGTTACTATTACATTATTGGTACAAGTAAATTGTACTATTACGTGGTATACCACGTAATATTTATACGTGGAAATGAAATGGAGAAGGAGGGAGGCAGAAATTCAGTAAAAATAATTTCATAGCATGAGTCAGGTCGGCATAATTTCAGGTTGTGCGGAAGGAACAGTGTAATGCATATGAGGGAATATTGTCGATGTTCTGTGGTGAAGAATTCAAGTAGCAGGTGTGAGTGGGATGTTGGCAATTTACTGATGTCTTGGAGTGAAAGATTTGAACGGATGTAGTTGGGAGGTATTCGACCTGCACTCGCATACTTGTCAGGGCAGGACTTGAGGGGATGTTTATGGTGGAAGATTTTGACCGATGTGATAGCAAGTGGGAGCCCAGGCCGCGTGATTTTTATTCGCACTCAGATAGTGGCATTAATTTGCATAAGCGGCGCTGATTGGCTGTTGCCATGGCGCTAAACAAAAAATATAATGAAAAAATTATAAATATAAAGCAAGAAATATAGCTGACTATCCAGCTTTACATGTAAGTTTCATTACGGATTTTCATGAATAAAAACGAGAGCAATGGCAAATACTGTATATAGTATGATACTGTAGTACTGACTGTGATAATCGGCTCATAAATCTTTACAACTCGCCGCGCGCGAAACCGCCAGCCAATCAGCGCCGCTTATGCAAATGAATGCCACTATCTGAGTGGGGGAAAAAATCACGCGCCCTGGCCCTATGTGTGTGTGTGTGTGGAGGAGGGTGTGTCTAACACGCAGCCGCATGTCTCGATTCAGCTCAGAAGCTCAGCGACCGCTGGCTCATCAATCGCAACAACTTCACGATCGTAGACCTGCGCAAGGAGGACGACACGATGGTGATTCAGTGCAATGCCTCGCAGCAGATTAGCGACTCCTACATCTTTGAAAATGCCTTCCTAAACGTGCTGTGTAAGTAACACCTCGGGCCACAATTAAAAAAATCTTTGTTTGCCCTCACCCGACCCAGGCTGAAAAGTTTGGGTAGGTAGGTAGGGTTTTTTTCAGGTTTTTTTTTTTACAAATTCAGCATGGTGTCTCTACATGCTCGTGGTGTGCTTGTGTGGAGATACCTTTTATGTTGAATGTTTGTTTTGTTTGGTGCATATAATGTATTGCCTACAGATTTATATAATGTACAGTGATACAATTTGTAAAAAAAAGAAAAAAGAAATACAAATAAAAATTTTTGAGTCGGCCCCTTTTAGGCCGGTCGGTCGGGTGAGGGCAAACAAACAATATTTTTATTATGGCCTAATCTTGCTCTATATTATTTGTAATTGTGATACTACCATAATTTTTAACTGCCTTATTACTGTATCACTGTCTTACACCAACCATCATGGTATTAAATGATGTAATTGTGTCGTAATATACCAATTAACTTACATTGAAGGAAACTGCTGACAGTATTGTCTCATTATTTGTGTGTGTGTGTTCTCTGTATTTGCAGCAGAGGCACCAGTGTTTAGGAAAGAGCCATATCCACTGTATGAGTTTGTCGAGGGAAACGTGGGAGAGATCCACTGTGACACATTTGCTGCACCACGACCAACTACTAGGTGCTGTACTCATGAACGAGAGGGAAATAGAAGGAGAGAGAGAGAGAGAGAGAGAGAGAGAGAGAGAGAGAGAGCGAGAGAGAGAGAGCGAGCGAGCGAGAGAGAGAGAGAGAGAG